TTTCGCTCTTGTTGCCCAGGCTGGTGTGCAGTGGCACAATCTTTGCTCACTGCAACCTCTGCCTCCTGGGTTCAAGTGATTCTCCTGCCTCAGCCTCCCAAGTTGCTGGGATTACAAGCACCCACCACCATGCCCGGGTAAATATTTTTTTATTTTTAGTAGAGATGGAGTTTCACCATCTTATTCAGGCGGGTCTCAAACTCCTGACCTCAAGTGATCCACCCACCTCACCCTCCTACAGTGCTGGGATTACAGGCATGAGCCGCTGCGCCCAGCCTGCATCCCACAAGTTTTAGTGCAATGTCATTTTAACTTATCTCAAAGTATTTTCTAATTTCCTTTATGCTTTTCTCTTTATTTGACTATTTATTAGTGTGCTGTTTAATTTCCATGTATTTGTGAATTTCACAAATTTCTTTTTGTTATTAATTTCAAATTTTTTATTGTAACCAGAAACATACTTTGTACAATTTCAATCATTTTAAAATCTACTAAGGCTTGTATTATGGCCTATCCTTAAAAATGTTCCACGTGTGCTTCAGAAGAATGCATATTCTGCTGTTGTTGGGTGAAGTGTTCTATAGATGTCTATTAGGTCTAGTTTGTGTATAATGCTGTTCTAATCTTATATTTCCTGATTGGTCTCTGCCTAGTTTCTCTATACCTTATTAAAAATGGAATATTGAAGTCCCCAACTATTATTATTTTATTGTATTTTCCCTCAATTTGTTAAACTTTGCTTCATGAATTTGGGGACTCTATTATTAGGTGCATATATGTTTATAATTGTTATAACTTCCTGATGAATTAACTCTTTATCACTATAAAATGACATTTTTTGTCTTCAAGTCTATTTTTTCTGATATTATGGCCACTGCATCTTTCTTATTATTGCAATTTGCATGGCATTTCTTTTTCCTTCCTTTTAGTTTCAACCTATTTGTGTCTTTGGTTCACAAGTGAGACTCCTATAGACAGTATATAGTTGGATTCTGTTTTTTACCCATTCTGACAATCTTTCTTTTGATGGGATTATTTAATCAATCAAATTTAATGTTATTCATACAGTTGGATTTACATCTGCCATTTTGCTTTTTGTCTTGTGTATGTTTCATGTCTTTTTTCTCTTTTTCTCCTTTTTGCTTCCAGTGAATATTTTCTAATGTAATATTTTAATTTCTTTAATGATTTTTTCACTATATTTGAGTTACGTCCTTAGTGGTTGCTCTAGGGCTTGCCATATACATCTTAACTCATTAGAATCTACTTAATACTTATACTAACTTCATTCCAATGAGAATTAAGTTACTCCAGTTACTCCTATATAACTCTATTCCCTCATCCCTCTTTTTGTGCTATTTTTCTTATATATCTGAGAACTTCTTATCCAGCTCCTTAGGTTTACTGGGGAGAGCAAGACCCAGAGAGAGTCTGGCTGGGCTATGTACTAGCTGTCTGACCACAGATGAATCACTTAAAATTCCTTGAGCCTCAGTGTCCTCACCTGTAAAATGGCGAGAAAATGGCTGAAATAGCTCCAAGAATGAAATGAGCTCTTATCACTTATCCTACACATAGTAGGAGCTCTGAAAACAGTGGCCTGTGTTTGACCGTCAAAGAATTCCAGGAATTTTTATACCCCATTGTTCTTTAAAAGGCCATATATGCAAAGCAACCCCCAAATGCAGAAGTAGCCAAGAACTCACAATGTGAGGCAGACAAATCTAATTTTTCAGTACAGAGTGACTTATTTGGGGAACTTAAGGATGGAAGCGTAGTCTTGGACAGCAGCAAAACAGGTAGATCTCCACACTGTTAATCCCCAGACCCAGGGCTTATATATCATAGGGAAAGAGTATACATGCTCTGTGCAAGACAATTAAAGGCAGCCCTCCAGAACAGGCAAGAATGCTACATGCGTCATAACCTATAATTTGTGCAATAACATCAAGGCTGACATGTTCTTATGCTAAGGACAGTAAATAAAGTGAGAATCAGGAGGCTTTCACAGGACTGGGGCTAATCAGAAGTCAACATGGCGGATTAGCATCTGTATTAGTCCATTCTTACATTGCTATGAATACCTGAGGCTAGATAATTTATAAAGAAAAGAGGTTTAATTGACTCACAGTTCCACATGGCTGGGGAGGCCTCAAGAAACTTACAATCATGGCAGAAGGCACCTCTTCACAGGGCAGTAGGAGAGAGAATGAGTGCAAGCAGGGAAAATGCCAGACACTTATAAAACCATCAGATCTCATGAGACTCACTCATTATCACGAGAACAGCACTGGGGAGAGAAACAGCCCCCAAGATTCAATTACCTCCACCTGGTCCTGCCCTTAACACATGAGGATTATAGGGATTACAATTAAAGGTGAAATTTGGATGGGGACACAGAGCCAAACTATATCAGCATCCCAGATGGAGTCACTCTTATCTCCACACCCCGCATTCTCACATCGGAGAGTCAGGAAGCATGCATGTCCAACCGAAGCCTTAGGGCGCTCCCTCTCTCCCGTGCATGCCTCTCCAGGGGAGCGTCTCACAGTGAACTTCAGCAAAGGCTTGGCTCTCAGGGTGGGATGACATACAGGCCCAGACACTAGGGCCTCCATCTCAGTCCCTCCTGATGAAGGCTAGTAGGCTGCAAGAGCCACCAGCATGGGTCAGACCTGCCCCAAGGGCATGTTTCTCGCCCCAGCTAAGGTCCTGAGTTTGTGCTTTACCACCTGTTCCTGTTGTAGGTTGAATGTGGTTGAGGCTTTTGGAGTCAGTGCTAGAAAGGTATGGGAAGGAGAAGCGATCACAGCTGAATGTCAAGCCTCTGACTGGTAGATGACCAGGCCCTCACCTGGGAAAAAAGCCCTCCTACAGCTACTTAGGCAGGTGGTCACCCATGCTGTCCTTGATTACCACCCAAGACAGAGGCCTTACTCTCCTGAGGCATCGCAAGGCCTCCCTGCCATTTCCCCATCTGGTCTCAAGACTGGAGCTACTCACTCAATACATGCATTAGGCAACTTTGGAGTGCCCAGCCCCATTGTTGAGTTTGAGGACACAGAGAGTGATCAAACACAAGCCCTGGAAACCAGACATGATCATATGTAACAAATGCAAAGCTGGGGCTTGAACATGGGCTCTGGGAGAATGTGCAAGGGGACCCTTCTCAGATCAGAGCCCAGGAAAGATCTGACCTTCCTGGTGCTTGCCCGTGACCCTGTGGTTCATTAAGTATCTGAAGCTGGCTCCCTACTGCTGTTCAGAGACCCGGCTGGCAGCCTCAGGAAGGGTTTGCACTGAGAGCAGGAGATGCACTGAGGGCAGGAGATGCACTGAGGGCAGAAGAGCAAGCACTGGACTTTGAAGCCAGATCTAGGTTCTAGCTTAGCTCTGCCATGGAGTAACTGAGTGACCATGGGCCAGTCACTTACCAGTGCTGAGTCTTAGTCCACCTATCTGTGAAAGGAGAAAGCTGCATCCTGAGTTGCAGGGCTGAGTTGGAAGGAATTCAGTGACACTCCAAGACACTCACTAATGAGGAGCTGACTGTCCAAGTGAGGCAGTGGGTGCCCATGGCTGCCCCTAGCTGACTCTGACCCCTCCCCAGGACCCCAGCTCCCAAGGCTCCATCATTTTTTCCAGTGGGAGGACTAAGTCACCTGTCCCCAGGAGTTTCTTTCTGTAGGACTCTCAAGGATCCAGCTGTTAGTCCTGGAGGAGGTTCCTGCACTCTCCTCTTGCTCCCACCACACCACATCCTCCCTGGAAGTCCCCTCCACCCCTTTGTGCCTTTGTCCCGCCTGGAATGCCTCTCCCTGCCTTCCCTGAGCTAACTCATCCTCACCCTCCAAGATCACCTTGGCCTTCCCTCTTCTGGGAAACCTTCTCTCATCTGATCCAACCCC